TTCCCTAGACTGCCTGGAACAGAAGGCAGAAACAGGCTTCTTGGGATCAACCGAGGTCTGAGGCAAGATGATTGCAAATTATGGGTCCCTCTTCTCTCCGCAATAAAGCTACACAAGCAGCTTCTGCTGCGAACGTCTCCTTCCAAACTCTTTGTGAAAGTTTTAAAATACCAGCGCTCTCCTATTCCTGCACCTTGAAGGCAGGGAGCTCTCGCTCCCCAAGTTTCCAACTTCCAAGACCAGAGAAGCCACACTCTAGATGCTGACTGAGTACAGGAAGATGTTCCTTCTCATCCAGGACCAGAGGAGTTCTCATCCAGGACCAGAGGAGTTCTCATCCAGGACCAGAGGAGTTCTCATCCAACTTTGTTTCACTTGGTTCCCACAGGACGAGCATGGAGGTTGGGTGTGGAATCCCCAGGGGCTCACGCTGCCATGCACAGCAAGCACAGCACACATTTTCCTTCTCCCTCCGACTTTTATAGCTGCTTGGGAAGTTCCCACCAGGACTGTTGCCAGCCGCTGTACAGCTGCAGCAAGAGCTCAGCTCTCCAGAATGGAGGTAACTGTGCCCAGTAACTGGGACACGCTACAGGAACTGTCTGCTTTCATTAATGCTTGTAAGAACAGCTTGTCAAATCTGCAACAACCAAGTTTATCTTTTTTAATTCATTTTCTGTAAGTTTATTTCAAATTTAAATGTTTACTGGTTTCAAGCTTCTGGCTCAAACCCTACTGATTTAACTGCAACGTAATGGTGCTGTCGCATTGCCAAGTACAGGGTAAGACTGTTTCGTATTTCAAGGACTTGCTCTTAATAGACTCCAAATTGCAAGGAAATGCCTGTATTTCCACTGAATATTTCAGTGCCTTCCTAAAGAGGTCCTTTGACATACATTTGTACTGTAAATGTCAAATTACACTTTTAAATTGTGTTGGAATTTCAAAATGAAGAAATAAAAAAGGCCTGAGTTAGAAAGATTATGTTATCCTAGTAAACTGATCGCCAACTCAATGACAGCCTGCTGCTTCTTCCAAAATTCTCCCCTAATTAAAGCAAAACTATCAGATTTCCAATGTAGCAACAAAAACATCTATTTACCAAAAACTGAGACTCTCGGCTTTGCTAAATTTGTACCATTAACTCTAAGCTATTAAAATGCATTCATTTCAGAAAAGAGTATATGCTAAGAAAAAAAAAAAAGTCTTCCTTCATATAATTTGTCCATCCATGTTTAAGTCTCCCCTTACTTATGTATCATTCTTTGTGATTTCTAGTCTCAGGAAGACCCAGTTTATGTTTAGTAACAACAAAGCCACAAGCACATTTTATTACACCTGAGGTATATCCTTCACAGTTAAAATGTAAATTTGCACAAACACTGTGAATGGTGGAAGCTATAAGCAGTGGATTTTACTCTGTTACAAACCAGAATTTTTTCAATAGGATATACGGTAGCATGGGTCCTGTTTAACCTTGCTCCTCAAGTTAATTCAGACGTGACTTTTTCCAGGGGCACAGTAGAAACAAATGCAAAGTTACCTGGCAAAGAGACACGACTGTCCACGCACATTGACAAAATTCTTTCATACACTAGTTTCCCTGTTTAAAAAAAAAAAAAAAAAAAAAATCATTCATAACAAACTAACAAACCGTAAAACACAAAAAGTTAATACAAAGGATCCCTCTCCAACACACACTGAAATTAGCTGGAAAAAACCCTCCTGGAACACTAACACTGTGCTGCCCTCTGGTGAGGCTGGAATGTTAAATCTGAATTTAGCACTTCACACACTATTAAAAAAATGTGTCTGGCTCCCTTAAGTGCAGAAGTAGCACACAGGTCAGATTTCTCCCAGGCCAGGAAATGACAGCTGGTGTCCTGTCTTTGCTGAATGTGGATATTATGTTATCTTCAGCAACTTTCAGTAAGTAGGAAAGAACACAAAGAGGAAGCAAGACCTGAGAAAACAATTGGATCTATGTCATAGCCTATCCGGCTAAACATCAAAATACCCCTCAACTTTGAATGCTGTCGTAAATCTTTTCCATAACATGGCAGAAAACCAGGAGAATCATGTGAGGTGGATGACCATTTCATTCAAATGATAATCTAAAAATCATAAAAATATATTAAAAAATTCAGTAACTACATTTTGATCGCTTCATAGACCCTATCCGGCTAAAGAAAACTGACTTCTATTCTCCAAATATAAATAGAATGAAAAATTGAGTCAAGAGACTGCCAAAGCCAAAATATTTTCATAATAACAAGTGTGCTTTAAATTTCAAAATGCAGAGATCATTATTTTTCCCAAGGTTTTGTTCTAGATACTCATTAATACATAAAGCATAGAACTACAAAATGAAATACTTTTATTTTGAAGACTTCACTCATAAAAAGTTTCTGAACAATTATATACCACATTTATACCACTGGTGTCCAAATGTTTATGTTGGAAAAAATTCAATGTTAAAACCAAGAGTCATGTCAGCACTTCTTGGATAAATTTGCTGTCTTCTAACATTACAAAAAACTAATTTAATTTTTCTAACAATTATGTAGTAAGTCTGGCACATTAAATACTTACCAAAAGTATCAAGGATATCTGTAATTAAAACAAATTTACTTGGATAAAACTGGATTACTGTTGTGTCTGAAAGAAGCTTAGAACACTAGAAGGAAAAGAAAAAAAAGAAACATTTTTAGAGGACAATGCAAGTTTGTGTTTTCACTCCAAACAGGCTGGGACAGATGAATATCTTCAGATGGAAAGCACCAACATGAACTATCCAGCAAAAAAGCACAAGAACTCCTAACATAACACATCATGGTATTCCTTGTATTTTTCAGGTTACTCTTCATTTTCAGCAGAGCTAGTCACAGATCTCTTTTTCCTTCATACAAGGTAATCTATAACGCAGAATTTCAGCTGACCATGCAGATCTGTGCATTTGTTCAGACAAGACAAATTCTCTCCCAGAAAATGTGCATTAAAAGGCTCTTCTTTTCTAACAACTTTTTTTAAGGACATTTTTCAGTTTCTCACGATCTCTCTAAGCACTCTTATCAAACACAAAATTTCATATAGATTAAATTAAGAAACAACTTTAAAAAGTTTAGTTAATGAGCTTTTCAACACATCTTTGTGGCTCACATAACTAGTTCAAACACTCTGGCAACAGGCCAGCTGATCCACAGCTCCAGGGAGGAATCTGTAATCAATCACCACCCACAGGCACCCAACATGATCACGGCATTTGGACTACAATGATGGCTGGTAGAAAGTCACATGTGAAAACAAATTAGCCAACCTAGTTCTAGTATCGTTTAATGTTAAGTCCAGGTAAGAACATGTCCATTTATGACATGAATTCAAAATACACACTGAGGAATGAAGACATTTTTAAGATATTAATTAAACTATACTTTGTTTTCCAAGATGGTGGGAAAACTGCAGATGAAACTGGAGTAAAAAAACTTTGGCAGAAGTTTATTCACAAAAAATCAGCCTCCACCTGAAGAAACAGGCAAATGACCAATCGAGGAGAGAAATCCATGTCTTCCCTACTTGAGCCAAAGCTGGTTTTTTGACCGCGAGTCTTCTCTGGTCTCTATCTAAGACTGACAAGTACAGTACTCTGTGATCTCTGTCCCTTCCCTCTCCTTCACCAGGAGACAGTTCTTCAGTCTCAATGGAATAAATACAGTTCAAGTTTTCGTCACATTCCAAAAATCCAAGAAGCAATCTGATACCCCACAAGCCTGCTTTGTTTAATCCTAACATTTGAGCATGTTTAAACGAGAAGCACATTTAGTCTTTTTGCTTTCTTCGTCAGGGAGGAACTTAAGAGTGCACCAGAAAAAACAGGTGAGAGCATTCACATCGTACAACCAAAGCAGAAGCTCCCCTATCGCATGGTATGTCAGGCACCTTCAACGAAAGGTAATTCAGGAGCTGTTTAGGACCTACACATACCACAAACACTTAATTACCACTTTTCTTAGAGCTCACATACATAATCAACTTACTTAGCTTACTCTAAGTAGCTTAGCTTATTCCATCTTGACAAGAAAAGTATCTTGTAAAAAGGCACTTGAGGAATTCACATGCTATAAATTCAGACCCTGTCTTTATAACCAGAACTCTTCCTGCACTTCAAGCTTTGTAGAACTCTTGCAGAGAGAACGACAGCTTCATCCCCCATGTCCAAATTAAAGATCTTGTGTAATATCATCATTAGTTCTTAAATCAAGATAATTCTAGCATTCAAATTAAAATTGCTTTTTCCAGCCCAGTATACATTTCTGAAAATAACAACAACAAAAAAACCCCCACCAAACACTCCTCTTATTGCATACCAATCAGTACGTGGTGATGATAATAATGATAAGACCATGCATGTAATCACAGCCTGACGTCAAGAAAACTGTTTAGTTCTTTTAAAGGATACAACATTCCTAAAATTATGTTATTTATTACGAAGAACTACACAAGGAAAGTTCAGTCAGGTTTCTACCTTATCCTGTTTTATAAGTATAGAACTGTTATTAGTTACTCATAGTCTCCTTTATGAAATTTTTTAACTCATTTTAATTACTCAAATACCTATTTCATTCTTACCCAGTCTTTCAATTAATGACGAGCATCTGCAACATGAAGTTCAAGTGCAAAGTGAACAACACATAGACAACAATTTAAGAGATAAACATGCAATTTTGATACCACTTTCCTAAAAGGAAGCACTGAATCCCATCTTAGAAACAACAGTATTTCAAAATTGTGTGTGAAACCATTTGTAAAATAATATATTACAGTATTAATGTGTAGATTATCACTCCAGGTCAGACACTGTATATATATACACACATATCAATACACTGTAAATACAGTATGTCCATGTCTTTTCTCATCCAAAGACTTTTAATCTTGTATGCCCTTTTACTAAAATATTCACACTTCACAATGCTATATATGGATTTATTTTTTTAAAGAATAATAGTGCTGATTTCATAGTATTACAATAGAACATTAGTCATCCTAGGTCACATATAATTTTCTGATCTCACTTCATTTATGTTTCCTTTATCGTCTTTACCACAATTTAAACTGAAATTACTGCAAACAGTTTTCACAGCAGTATCCAGCATGACAAAAAAAAAAATCCTGACTTTATATAACCCCCGTTGATGCCTATTAGCATTACATCAGTTTTACAGCTTTTAAGGATGTCATTATCTCCTCTGTCCTCTGATGCACTCTGCCTCTGGCCTTTTTTAAAGGCCAAACCAAACAAAAGATCATTTAATTGTCCTGTTTCCCCTGCCTCTCTCAAAGCCCCTCGCCCCAAATAAGTGAAAGGAAGACTGTGGAAAAGTTTTTTTTTTTAAAAAAAAAAAAAAAAACACAAACAAAAAACCATACAGACACTTAAAAATCTGGAGTTTCTTTCTGTAGCTTGCTAGGGTCCTAAATCAGATTATTCAATTGCCTTAGTAGTTCTGCATGGGGAAAACACTGATGTTCAAAAAGCTGTTCTGGCGTTATTTGGGGTGGGGAACAAGGGGCCAGAAGGGGAAGAGAAGAGGAAAGGAAATTACATGCCCTAGAAACAGCTGGTATCACTACGTTACTTATTCTAATTGTCCCTAACCAGGTAAAATTTCCTCACCTGTCATCTGGCCACTCTCTTTAATGAGAATTCCATCCCACAGACCCTAGTCAACATCAATAAGTAACACCAAAGTTGAAAATCCAACCGTTGTCAGAAGCCATAAAACTCAAAGAAATGGGTTTCAGTGAAGAACAGAAGAAAATAATAGAAAAATAACAGAAACACTTATTTCCCCAAGAAATAAATCAGACAAGCCATACCACCAAACTCACCAGTTCTGTACAGAACAAAAACATAAAACTGACCTGGATGACTATTTTCAGAGCTTTTACTTTCTGATCAGAGGACCAAGCATCCTTTAAAGACTGGTTCAGTTCTTCAATTCGGTTCATGTAATCCTGCTGAGTCAAATTCAACAGCTCTTTCTGTGACCCCTGGCAAGAAAACACAAACCTACTTAGGAAGAGAGGGAAGGAAGGAAGAGAGGGAAGGAAGGAAGGAAGGAAGGAAGGAAGAGAGGGAAGGAAGGAAGGAAGGAAGGAAGGAAGGAAGGAAGGAAGGAAGGAGAGTGCTGTTATTATAGTCAAATCACCGTGGGGTTGGGGGGAAACAACCCCACAACATCTATTACAGAATTCCCTAGTTTTCCCTTCTTTCCTTTGCAGCATCAATATTGCAGGTGTTTGGCAGAGGAGCGCATCACAAATCCTTTGATTTTCAAGAGGCATGCATGCTGGTACCCAAAGTCGTTAGTGAGGTCAGAAATGCCAGACTATTCCAGTGGTATTCTACTCATGGTATAATTAGTGCACTAACACCATACATAAGCATACTAGCACCCACATACAAGAAACATCAGAGAGAAACTAAATGCTTTGCCAGCAATGTGCTACGAAATTTGCTGACAGGAAAAAATATCTGTCTGTGTTCACCCTCAGTAAGAAAATAAAACTATCTTCACTCATGCTCAGCACCAGAACACTCTTGTGATCTGTTTTCCTGAAGATCTTACAGACCTTATAAAAACATTACAGGCCAAAAATCAACTAGTGAAACATTGGAAGCAGAAATAATTGTTTAAGCTTTAGAACCAAACTGACACAGGACCAAACTATAAACGCACTTAGAAAAATTAGAAGGTGACTCTGGAACAGTCTTCAGTAGAAGTATGAGTGACATTAAGAACTACCTTCAGGACTGGTTTTGATGAGTTTATGAAGCTGCATTACAAAAAAAAACTTCCTAGTATGAGAGTCTAGAAACAACCGAATTAAAAAGAATAACAGATTAAGAGATAAAATGCAAACACAATCAGTTCACACAAGGTTACATACTTCCTTATGGTAAACTTATTTCTCTACTAAAAGAATACAAACCTTTGCTTGTGATATGCAACTATCAGAACTGCGCTGGCTCAGGCAACAGGCAACGTGAAGTTAGTTAAGAGGCAGAGGTTTCAAAACAACATTACCCAACGCAATTCTAGAAGTACCCCACAGAAAGGAACTTATGGAACATCTCATCTTCGCACAGTACAATACCGCAGTTTGAGAAATAGATTGAGTACTCAGTATTTCTATCAAGCACATAAATGTAACTTTAATTAAGTCCAGGTAGACAGCGTGACGCTTCTGCAACAGAAGCAAACAAAATTCTTAGATGTTAAGACTATCGGGCTCCATGAAGTTTTACAGCAACTGCAGATGGCACGCAGTACCAAGGTAAATCAGCATTGGCAGATCAGGTGAACTTTTTGACCACTAATTCTAGTGATAAAAAAATATAATTCTGCCTGAATTATATAACAATAAGGATTGTGCATATTTGTCTAAATACTGCACAAGTACATGCAGAATCAGGACCTTCTTAAAAGGTTTCATAAAATATTTTTATTTTACATATTTATTTCACATTTTAAATAGTGATGTAATTGGATCAGAAAACTTTCTCACCTCTTCCAGATCATCCAATTCTTCCAACCTTGTCCTCACTTTTTCAGAAACTGCTGAGCCAGTAGTTGTAGCTTTTCCTGTAAAGAACTGTATGTTTGACTTCTAAAGAAAAACAAACTTGAAGGAGCTTGACAGACTCAGATGACTAGTCAGCTTCCATGACAGAAGAGAAGGAGTTTGATTCATTTGGTGGCTATTCCTGAAGACACAGCTTTAAATACACCTACAGTTCATTCACTTTGAATGGGGGAATGACAAGTTAGCAAAACTGAATATAAATGGATTTTCTTGCAAGATTTGCTGGTAAGGAAAGAACCACTGGACAGAATCAGAGGATAATTTAGGTTAGAAAAGCTCCACGGATGTCTGTCTCCAACTCCACTCCTCAAAGTAGGTTCAATTTTACAGTTTTAACAGGTTGCACAGGGTTGTACCCAGTCAATTTAATGACATCCAAGTATAGAGATTTCACACTGTCTCTGGACATCTTGTTCTAGTGTTTGACTATTCTCACTCCAAAAAAGTTTGTTTGTTTTTTTTTTCTGCAGAAGCTGAAACGCTGCACATTTACTCATACACAAAAATTCTGGTTCACTATGCAGTTGGCTAGGACTACTTAGCCTGAATTTGCTTCACTAGAAAACATGATAAAATATTTAACGTTTAGTTATTTTTTGAACACTCAGCATACACTTGGAATCATTTCACTTTCATGTAAAGAGAATAATGGAACAAGTTCACAAGGGACTTGTTTGCTTTCCCTTCTAGCAAGAAAAAGAGTTGATAAACATGATCCTCAAAATATCATTGCTTCCTTTAAATGGAAGAAAGTTTTAAGCTACAGTAGCAGGCAGTGAATTCCATTCCCCTTCCACAACACACAATCGCAGATTCATTAGCCTACAAGGCATACAAGACAAGGTGGTTGGGTGGTTTGTCTTCAGTAATTATTTTAAGTAAAAATCCGGCAGAAGTCTTATTCACAACAAAAACAGAACCAACCATATGTCAGAATGGAGGGAGGAGGGGAAATCCCATTTCAACTATTCTTGACCACAAACCTGTCACTGCAACCTACCTCAAGCAAAACCTGTTACTGTTAGATGTAAAGGAACTGCTTACCTTTTTCAGATCCCATGTAGAGATTCTATGAAGAAACAGAAAAAGCAGACTTTTAGAAAATGTGTACTGTGTTAGCACTGCAAGAACACACGTGGTAATTACACTGCTAATTAAGTCTCTAATCATTTAGAAGTAGATATAAGACCAGAAGGTATTTGTATTGTTACAAAAAGACAAAGTGATGGCTTTTAAGTATTAATGGACTTTTGAACTCAGCTCCAAAACAATCATTACAAGTGAGAGCTTGTGGTACAGCTTTCTACAACATTAAAACTGAAATTTAGAGGACTAGCATCTACTCATGAAATAATTACAAAACTGCAACATCCAAAATCCATTAAAGGTCTAGTACAAATAATTAAAACTGGAGAAGCTGCCACTTACAATAGAGAGCTTCTCTGTTGTTGTGTATCTAGCAAGGATTTCACCACGTTTGCTTGACCACGGTTCAAAGTCACTTCCTACTGCTGAGCTGTCATCTTTATCCCGTTTCTTTCGTGTACTATCCTATGAGGAGAGTACAAGTGCAAATGTTAAATACAAATCTGGAAAAAAAAGAGAAGGCTGATAAAGATCAACTTAACGTTTCAAATGCTTACTGATGCAAAAAGTTACAATATATAAATCCCACCATATTTAAATAAATGTCAACATAAAACAGGCATATAAAAAAACAATACTTTATTCTATTAATACAGGATATTTCCTACTTGCATTAACCTCCAAATTGGTGAGACAAATCTATTTCATCCAGGGTTTTTTTTGGTTTGGTTTAGTTTTAGCTTTGTTTTGGATTTTTTTTTTTATTTTATTTAGTTGAGATAACTGCCCTCCAGTGTTACCATGGTAGCAGTAGTTGTCACAGGGTCTGCAGCTGCTGCAAATAATGACAAGGGATCGGTACCATCCAATACACTGCTCAATGGATCCATCATAGAACTAGAAGAAGAAGAAGACGTGGAAGAAGTACTTCCTTTCCGGTTCAGTTTCTTGGTCTTGGATTCAGTAACCTACAAGAAAAATGCAAACCTATTAAATAAAAGTTCTTTATCTTCCCCCTATTTTCTTTAATAAATCATCAAAATATGTACTGCATAAATTGTGCTATTGCAATGAAAGCAAAGACCCACCTACAAGAAACTCATTAGAATCAGCATTAGCATTTAACTTGAAGCCCCTTTTTTTTCCCCTGAACCTGCAGGCACTCTGCCTGTACTCTTCTTGAACAATACTCAAGCCTGAAACATCAAACCCATTCCTAAGGCCTCTGTCTTATCTCCCTACTGACCTTCCGGAGTAGAAGCTGCTGTCCACTTATCATTCATTAGTGTACGACTATCATCTCTTTGCAGACGGATTTTTTTGTACGTCCACATTTTTAAAAGCCTCTCATAGATTAAAGAAATTATAAATGTTTTAAAGCATACAGCTGACTGAAAGTTAACCCCAAAACAAATCAAGCAATTCTGCTGGTTATTTGTAATGCAACAATTTGATTTTAAACTTATCTATTATTCAGTATTTAATGCAACCAAGAAAACCCACAAGTTGAAATGCTATGAGTCATAAGGAGACTGTGTTTGACACACACAGCACCAGCAAATTTCTGTAAAGGACAAAAACCAGAATAAACCTTGATGCCTCTAAAATAACAGGTCACTAACACAGAAAGCATCTTGACTAGTACCACCACCAGCTTCAAAGCATTTTAATTTTAAAGGAAAAGAAGTAAGAAGAGGAATACAACCAGTTTTAATTCACATTCATCTTCCAAAAGCACAAAAAGAAACTCACTGTAATGGGTTTGAGTGGGTGGTAATCACCAAAATCCAAGGGTACCGATTCCAGTTTGCACACTTCAGATTCTGAAACATAGTTTCTGGATCTCGCGTGCCTTGAAAAGCAAGAGTAAAGAGAAAGTTTACACACACATAATCACATACTTACAAAGAGAGAAACAGACCCTATGCCTACATGGATGCGGGCATATTTACAAAAAGGAATACCTGTTGAAAAACAGGTCCATGTAAAGACCAAAATTTCTCTTTCTATTGAGATACATAAATTAAAACTAAAGAAATTTTACTTTCAGCCATTCATCTGTAACAGCTAGACTCTCTTCCGTTCCAGTGAACATCAAAAGGGCAATTTAGCCAAGCATTTGTGTATATGACAGGCTGATAGAGATTATCAAACACATCTTTTAAACTGAATAGTCAGAGTGAAAGAAAAAGGTAAGTGTGAAACCCAAGGTAAGAAATGAAAGTGATCATGCACAGATACAATGAGGGACTACACAGATCAACTTGTGTAGCTGCAAAGCTCTTCCCCGAGAAATCTATTTGTTTGCTGTACTCAGAACAAAAGTTGTAGAAGTCAAATTATAAGGAAAAAAACTACCAGTACTCGTATGCTTACATTGTGGATAAGACCTTGTATAAAAGTCTTGCCTCTCCTATGAATATTAAGTAAAATAAATCACTAAAATATACATATTTCAGGTTTTATTTTGAATCTGATATTAAGAGAGAATTGTGGTAACTATGGCCGCCATCTCTAATTAAAAAAAGCCTTGATTCCAGAAAAGAACATAAATAAAAGTATTTTAATAAAACAACACTGCCACTAGGAACTAACAGTAACATACACTAATTTATCAATCACAGTTTAAGGACACTGCTCTTGTATCAAATACACCATTCATCCTGGTTTTGATTGTTCAAATATAAATATAAATTCATGATTTAAAAAGGCTTTTAAAGCACGTTCAACAATGAAGGAAGGCAAAAAAGGGGGATTAAAACTTCCCAGACAAGCACTGGAAGACAATTTCAAAAGACTTAAGAGTTACAAGTGCTTTCTAATATCTCTGACAACACATCGATATATTAAATTAATTCTTTTTAATTGTATGGAGTGGTAGCAGTGGTTAAACAGGGAAATGAAACTATAAACTCACAAAAACACAGGACAGCTGCTTCCTAAAACAACTGCCATCATAGCTACCACATGGCACCGTCCTTTAGCAGTGGCAACAGTTAAGCATTAGGGCAGAGAGAGATACAAGTAAAATCTAGAAAAATACATTTGAAAAGGTTTCCTCTGCATTCTACCCTCCATAACTTCTTGATTTCTTTTTCAGTCTTTGAAACATGCAGAGCAGCTACTTGTTCTTTCCTGTTTCATCCAGGATCTTGAGAATGTTCGTAGCCCACACTACAGCCTTAGCTGAATGAGTAAAAACCAGTGGATACACAAAGGTTTCTTTAATCAGACCCCTAACGAAAACAAACAGCAATCCCCCAATATAACACACATCTTTCCCACAAACACTAATGCAAACTTTCAAAGAATTCCACTCCTACTCAGAGACCTAACTCATTAGTAAGAGTTTCAGCCGTGTCAAGCAGCCGGCTCTTCTACAGATACTATGTACCCGCCAAAAAAACAGATTTATTAAAAAAAAAATCAGAATTAGTTTAATTTATAGTAGTGCTACTCCAAGGAGAATCTTTGACATCTAATGAGATACAGATGAGCAAGAGAAAGAGTCCAGTGAAATCCACGTGCTTATTCCTTTTGTTTTCTTGGTCTCCAGCTCCTTTTCTTTATACCTGAATAGAATCTTTAATTTACTGTTGTCCCGTGATTCAGTGATTCCCCTTGTTCACTTATTTCATAGGTTAATTAGCATTTGGGTGAAAAATCTTTCGACAAACTTTGGCTGCCCAATTATAACACATCTATTACTCCGTTACAGTTCTGTCAGTGTTTCCACACCTCTCCTTTACAGCTATTTCCAAACCAGCAGTGAAGACGTCACTGACAGCCCAGACTGGGCATCCCACTCCCCAGCCAAAATCAGTCGCACTCTAATTACAATGCAAGGCATCCCTGGACAAGTATACATGTCTAATATACACGAGGGAATGAAGAATTTTCTGTTCACCCTGCAAATAAGTCTTTAAAAAGCACATTTACGATGTGGCTGTTCGAGTGACAAGCCAGCCTGTAACACAGCTCGTATGGCGGCACGTTCAGGCTTGCACGGACATTGTGTTCCCCTTACGCTCCAGGGAGGGGAGATGAAGCGTTCCTTTCTGGCCCCAGCAGTGTCACCAGCTTCCGACAGTACAGAAAAATCAGACTCGGGCCAAGCCGGCGTCTCATCCTCAGCACACGCTGCACGATACGGCCCTGCCTGCGGGAGCTGTTTTAACCACAGGTTGGTAACATGAGAGCGAGTCAGAGGATTTTCAGTGTGACAGTGAATACATGGGGAAAACGTCCTGAGACCCTAATGCCCTCGTTGGCTCTAACTGCTGCATACTGCTTTTCTGGGCTCCCCGTCAGGTGTGGTTTGCAGTTTGCTCAGGACTATAACCCGTCAGCCACACCACACCTGGGAGGCAGACACATCCCGGGCGCTAAAAGAACACGAGCCTCGGGAGAGCAGGATTTCCAGACACAGAAAATCAGCTCGTTAGTAAACAAGTTGGGAGAAAAATGAACATTTTCCTCTACTCTGCCAGAGCAAGAGCCTCTATTCTGTCCCTCCCGCTCATCACACGCCCCAGGCTGGTCCATGTCCCGCACAGCGCAGCCTCCGC